AAATAATAAAAATAAAGTCATTAAAACAGAAAATAAATCTTTACAGAATTGATTCAAAATACCGCTTCTTTGATTCTATGTATTTTTTTTTATGTCCGTCCGCTGTGAGTAAAACGTCTGCTTATGGAACAGTAGCAAAATGTAGATCGCAAAGGCTTAGCGCTTGTCAGTCGAACGACTATCTCACTGAATTATCATATTCCCAATACATTTTTTCATTTGATTAAACCTATCTTTTGTTTTCAGTGTTTTCTTTACATACTTACTAACCAGCAACTATGAGCTATGTACGAATTTTATAACACAGAGTAGCTTTTGAAAGGACTTTCTTTTATATGACATATCTTTTCAGAACGCGACGCTGGGAATGTCATAGACAGAACATTTGAGTAATGAGTAAGTTTTAAGGAATATGGAAACAAAAGGGACACTTATACTTATAATCTGAAAGTGATAGTTGAAGTTTCTATAACACATAATGAGAAAAAAGAGTGCTCGGCGAATTTGGCACTCACAGGACATATTGAAAACAAAATAGACAGAGGGAAACAGCGAGTAACCTACCTAAGAAGATTGTGTAAATGGTTGTCAGAACATGTAGCGTGAGGAATGATGAAAATACAAACTTTGTACTGCAAAAGGTAAGAAGTTGTGGAGAGCCATAATCGTCAACGTCCTGAATGGACACGCAGAAGAAGAAGAAAGGTGGTCGTCCTTTGTCTTTATTCGGTTATCCATTCACTCAAGCTCATTAATTACGCTATGCGAGTTCGAGTCTTGCGAAGTGCTTAATTTTGATTTTTGATTTGCTTTGTCAAAAATGTCTGCTGAGGAGCTGTTATGAAAAGCAACTAAAACCTCACATGAATAAAAATGATCAAACATCCAGAAACCCTTGACTGCGCCCTGCGAGTACCTTTCAAAAATGAGTGTACCGTAGTAAAAAAAATATAGATGTATATACGTAATTTTCCATGCTTGAGAAGAAACGATGTTTCAGCATAGCAGTTACATTTGTGCAATAATAATAATAATAATAATAATGCTTCATATCCGAACACTAGACAATATTAAAACTTCCACAAATGAAAGAAATGCAAGATTCTAGACCGAATAATTCATGGAATACTGACAATTCTTTATCTCTGAACGCTATACAACATTAAAAACTCCAGAAATGAAAGAAATAGAAGATGGTAGATCGAATAATTCGTTTTAATAATGACAATTTTTTAACTCGGGACAAGGCTAAAAACTCAAGTAAACAACGAAAAAGAAAATTCTAGACCGAATAATTCGTGGATTCTTTACGTCTGAACACTGGACAAAACTAAAAACTCCAGAAATGAGTGAAAATGAAGTTGCTACACTGAATAAATCGTTGTATAATAATGACAATTCATTATCTCTGGACACTGGAGAGCTCTAGAACCTCCAGAATTCAACAAAGATGAAGATGCTACACAAAATAATTTTTGGAATAATGCCAGCAGGGAACCATTCTCTACGCTGGATATTCACCGTAAAATCGGGTATTTCTTATGCTTACTTTTGCGTATCGAAATGCTTTTGCTCGTTCGCTGGGATGCTGTTGATTTTATGAGAGGTGTGAGGTTTTATTTGCGCTGTGTTACAAAAAAGTGGTACTAACACGAGATGAAGCTATTGCCCTAGAATTTAATTCAACATCAATATCATTGACATCTACAGTAACATATTACAGGGCGAGAATATGAAGGGTAAAACACTTAAAATTACAAATACTTAACTTATGTTGACTTACGTGAAAAAAGGTCAGAACTACTATTTACTACTACTACTACTACTACCACTCCTACTACTAATACTACTACTACTACTACTAATAATAATAACAACAACAAAAGCAATAATAATAATAATAATATTAAAAACTAGTACCTGTGAAAATTTCAATTTTAATTACAAGAGGATCCTATGAAAAATAAGTAGACAAAACTATATATATATATATATATATATATATATATATATATAGTGCATTAATGTTTCGATGCAATATAGCATCTCATCTGGGGGTGGTGAAATGATTTACCGCCTGATGAAATGCTATGTTGCATCGAAACATTAATGCATTTAATATGGTAATAATATGTGTGTCGAATGTAATAACCTATAATAAAAATTATAGCTCTGTTTTTGCATTGAGCTCTATTATATATATATATATATATATATATATATATATATATAAGGAAGAGGTTATAAGTAGTTCCAACGAGAGAACAAGTAAAGGGTGGATATTTCCACATATTATTAAAAATAATTAATTTTTTCTCCTTTATGTTATTCGATATTAAATATTCTCGATATGAGACATTCTTTTTTTTGTGTTAGTTATCCGAATTTCTTTCTTGAATATATATATATATATATATATATATATATATATATATATATATATATATATATATATATAAGGGAGAGGTTATAGTTGTTTCGACGAGAGAAATTTGTATATTTTGAAGAGAAGAGAGAAGACTCAAATGTGTTTGGTTATAATTTTTAAAATATATATTATACTTTATTTCATATATATTTTACAAAACGTGTTTCGAGTTTTGCGACCGTCATTATGCGAAGAATGGTTAATTCCACATATTATTTAAAGGGATTCATTTTTTCCTCATGTTTTCCAATGTTTAACCATTGACTTTGGTGCGTAATTGTAATCAAAGTTTTCTTGGACTTGTGGAGAAATTATTCTTCTGCTTAAAGGGTAATAAGATAATTAGGCTTGCTCAGAGAAAGTGAGAAGTAAGAGGAGGTCTTTGTTCTTTACTTTTTATGACCTCTGTACCTTTTAAAACATATCTCCATTTTTGTGCATTGTGTGTTGGTAGTATGGAAAAATCTGTTCGAGTGAAACTTACTTCTCACCGATGGAATACGGAGAGAATATGGGTGTAGGAGAGAGTTTGAAAGGTGGAGAATATTTCGTCATCCACAAGGGATCGGAGACGCTTTTTAACTCTATCAAGTGAGGGTGAGGTCTGGGTAGCTGCCGTCCAAATATGCCAACAGTACTCCATTTTTGGCCTGATTTGATTATATGCCTCACCAAGGCCATATACCGTCTTGAATTCATAGTTGTCTTTCTCTAATATTGGTTACCAGACAAAGAATCTATTCTGCCCAATTATTTAACCCATAGCTGCGGAGAAGATATGGATTCATACTTCTCCTGTGGTGCGAATGTGAATATAACGATCTCGACTGGAATTCGACCACGGTTTGCCGATTTCTCTTTCCGATTTTTCTGTCAATTAAATCAGCAATAACTAGACAACGATACTTGTAAGTTCTGACTTTGCATCATCCATAAAGCAGGCGCCAATAATGATGAGATTAAATATGCAAAACGCACATATAGCTGCGTAAAAAAAGCAAAGAAACTTCTACGAGACGGATATACATGCCTACATTCCAAAGTGAATTTCCATGATTCCGAAGGAAGGAAAACTTGCCGAAACCGAGATTAGGAATCTTGATTCTTTTGTGTTCATTTTTGGTATGCTTTCAGTGCTTCTACTAATCGATCTGTTAGAATTCGCACTTCTTGTGTGTAGAACTCTTCTTGCTTTCCGGTCAACTTTAATATTCAAAATGCAATACTAATTTCTGTTCTTTTAGACTTCTCTCACCTTAATAATGTTTTTAATCTCATATAATCTCACACTCAATAATCCCTTACGTCTTAATGGCTTATTTCCTTGCATGGGGTGAATTTTTTTTTTTTTAAAGTGAATACGTCACTTGCTTGCATTCAGGTCAGACCAGGACAGTATTTTCTTGATTATTTCATATGTATGTTTGCTTTAGCACAGAAGTTATGGGCAAAAGAGAAATTTACACAGGATGATAAAAACAACCAATAAGTTCAACCATTCAAGTATGGAACATTCCAATTAAGAGGATTTTAGTGAGAGCTAGATCTGACATTCTGAGACTTTTTCACCGACTCTCGTAGCAGAGTTGAAAAAGAAATAGACTTTGTTAAGCATTACTTACGGAATCCTGAAAATCTTTTGTTCGTTTTACTATTTTTTTGTTTCTACTATTAAATCTGTTGTAATTGGAGAGTAGGCATTACTTTTTGACGGATTCTCATAGCAGAATTGAGAAAAATAAACTTTCTTAAGAATTAGTTATGGATCCTGAACCTTTTCTGTTTATTTTACTATGTTTTTTTGTTTTCTTTCTGCTATTAAATCTATTGTAATTGGAGAATTGGCATTACTTTTTCTCCGAATGCCGTAGTAGAACTGAGAAAGAAATAATCTTTGTTAAAAGTTATACATGGAATCCTGAAAAATTTGTGTTCATTTTCTACTAGTAAATCTGTTGTATTCGAAGAAAAACAGGCATTATTTTTTGACCGACGCTCGTACAAGAATTGAAAAAAAAACTTTGGTAAGATTTACTTATGGAATCCTGAATTTTTTTATTTTGTGTTCCTTTTGCTACGATTTGCATTCATCTACGATAAATATTTTCTATTTAAATAACAGAGAACTATATTTTGACCGACCCTCTTATATATATACACGCAAAATGCACAAGCACTCAGATCCTAAATTTGATAACGTTACCTTACATATAACGACCTCGGTTTTGTTAATTCTATCATCCTGTTAACTAAATTTACGATATAACAATTCTCATATCTTGTTAAATACCCATGCGTAAATGTATGCGGAGGCTCTTGCGTAATACGTCCGGGCTTGACAGAAATTGTTTTAGACAGTTTAATCCTGTAAGCAAAAACCATTGAAAAATAGCATCGTTAATTCCATTGCTCGGAGTTAGTGTTGAAATCTGGACTGTTGAAATGGTAGAATTCTTAATTTAGAATCAAGATTTTTGTGGCTCTTGTCATAAACGGAATATAATTGATTCTATTAGCCGACAGCTAGCATTTAACGTCTTTCAATCTGAAAAGAAATGCAAATATTCTAGACAGCATTCGCCAACGGATAGTTTTGCACTTATAATTCTCATGGTGAATCGGCGAAGAACAAGGAAAGACCTAGCAAAACACCAAGAAAAAAAAAAGAGTACTGAACGGTCATTCCTCGACCATGGCAGTGAATGCTGGACAATCTCCTCACAGGTACAATGCGACAGAAAGGACTTGAAAAAATAGACTTGAAGTAACAGAAATGTAGTTATAAAAAAAAGCATGCTGAGAATACCATTGACCAAACATGAACAACGTGAAACAAAAAGTATACGCATACTTAACATCGAGTTCGAATTCCAGTCGGGTTCGTTAAATTAAATTTTACGTGCAAATACCCTTGGGAATGGTATGACTCTATATCTTCTCCCCCACCCCCAGCTATTGGTTGAATTGAAGGAGAGACTGAGTCCTCTAGCCTTGGTTGGCAACCAGTCTACCGCAGAAAGAAATAGCAACCTACTGCTGGAAAGCCTTGTACTTAAACAATTAGGAATCTTAAGAGACACTATTGCCCAAGCGTGTATCACTTATAGCACTTAGCTGGCTTTTCTATCTACGAAAGGTATGAATGCATCCCTGCTTCCTCAAGGTATGGGTTGAATAGCAGAGTAAAGTGGGTTCTATAGCCTTGGTTGGCAGCCGGTCTACCACAGAAAATATTGTGCTTAGTTAGTTATGAATCGTAAGAGGCACTATTGCCCAAGCGTGTATCACGTATGGCACATACTAAAGATCAGAAGAGACAGTTTAATATGAATCGAATATGTGAGAAACGGGGAAGATTTAGCTAAAATGGAAACAAAAAGGAAACTTATACTTAAGATCAACTAAAGAAAGCTAAAAATTCTAGGACACATAATGAGGAAAGAGGACTTCGAAAATCTGATACTCACAGGACAGATTGAAGACAAGAGGGACAGAGGAAAACGGCGTATAACCTACCAACCGATAACAGACTATGTAGTAAATGTTGCGAAGGACAGCAAATTGTGGAGAGCCATGATCACCTTGACCCTCAAGGGACATGTCACACAGCAATATATATATATATATATATATATATATATATATATATATATATATATATAAAGAAAAGAACAGTAAGATATATAATCTTGTGTTCTTATAGATATTTTATTTTTACAAAATAGTGCTCAATGTAAATTCAGAGCCTTTAGCTTCCATTTTTGAAACATGGTTAGAACTGTGTAGCGAAAAAAACATATTTTAAATCAATTAATTTATATATATATATATATATATATATATATATATATATATATATATATATATATATATTATTCTGTTTAGACGTTATTTTTTATCATATCTGCTCACGAAAGGTATCGTAACGTAAACAATGACAGTATATAGTGAAATGGATTAAGTCCAACAATAAATTCGAGAGCCGTTGAAGATTGTGTGTTTAAAAACAGTAACTTTGACTTTGCTAATCAGACGCTTCTCTGTAGCTAAATAGTATAGAATGGCAGATCAAATGACGGTTTCTTTATAGGCATGCAGGTTCTATTCCTCTCAGAGAACGCATATTTTCTACGCAAATATTTCGGGCCGGTAAATGTAATTAATACTGATTAATTCAAAACATAGTATTTGCTTAAATAAATTTTATCTACAAAAATAACGTATAAGTAGAAAATATATTAAATAATTGTCGGATTTAATCCATTTCATTTTTTTTTTTTTTTTGAAGACTTAATGAAATAAATCTGAACAGTCAAGTAGCCTCTACGAAGACTTACATTTCTAAAAAGAATCAAATGAGGCGATTGAAATTTGCCACTGAACACGTCATATGGACAGAAGAACAGTGAGATTGTATTCATTTCAGTGATGAGTCAAAGTTTAACCTGTTCGGTTGTGAAGGGGGAAGGTTCGTTCGACGCAGTCCTAAGAAACAATATTTGCCTCAGCACACAAAAAACAGCGTTAAATTTGGAGGAGAAACAAAAACAGATGGTGCGGGACCTCTTGTTAGGTTACACTGTATACAAAGAATATTGGAGTACCTAATTTGAGAAGTAATCAACGAGCTGTATTTAAGCAAGATAGTGTTTGTTAAGACATTTCTTTCTGAGGAGGATTTCTGTTATGGATGGTGCTCAAAGGACCTCCTATTGAGAATGTTTGGAAGTAAATGAAAGAGTTCCAACAAACGTCGAAGTATGGACTAATTTAAAAGGAGAATGGGAGATATTGACATTAATTCGCTCACGTAGCAAAAATGATGTTATTTGTAAACTACACATCAAGTATTAATGAATTATGAACGCTATTTTCATTTGGATATGATGTAACCATTATTAATCGTTCTGATGTTTTTGATCATCTATTTTTTTCGAATGTTATATAATTATTCTTTATTAAAATAAGTTTATTGAGCTTATATTCTGCAATTATTAATTTACCTTTATATCCTCATTTTTCCTTGATAAAATGTTCTGAAGTTTTAAAATAAAAAAAATATTTCATCATTGTTCTGAAGATAATATATATATATATATATATATATATATATATATATATATATATATATATATATAAATTTATAAATTAATTGATTTAAAATATGTTTTTTCACACAGTTCTAACCATGTTTCAAAAATGGAACATTTTAATTTTTCATGGGACGATTTCATTAACCATATAGGCGTTACTGTTAAATGGTTAGATATGGCCTGCTTCCGATTCAAATGATCAGCCAGACATCACAAATCCTATCCTCTCTTCCACCCGCCAGACAATGTTTGGAAGATACGTTTAAATGTAAAAGAGATCCGGGAAGGAAAAAATCAATCCAACAAACGTCGAAGGGAACAATGGACTAATTGGGCAAAAAAAATCGGAGAGATGGGAGAAAGTTATCGACCAGTGATTAATCAATGCAAGACAAATTAATTCTTCGAAAGAGGAGGAATCCAGGAACATTGCGGCCAAAAGATGTCAAGCTGAATTTTGAAGCAAGACTAAAGGTCTACACATCAAGTTATATATATATTTATAAATAAATGTTTAATTTTGAAAAAGCCATCGTCTTGTGTCTGTTCTTCGTTGATTCTTGTGTCGCTTCCATTTTGAAGACCGAGAAAAAAAACCACGTTTTCTTTTTTAGAACCCGTGGTTTTCTATATATATATATATATATATATATATATATATATATATTCATATTATTATGGATATGAGTTTGTGACCCTTGGTTTCACGCTTTTTGCGATCATCAGATCAGACAAATTGGTTTACTTTTAAAATTGTATTTATTTATGCATGTTTCATTATGTTTGGTGCCGGGAGGGGGAATTTACTTCTGTGTTTGTTTGGATGGCGGAGAAGGGTTTCGGAAAGAGATAAAATTATTAAAAGGACAGGAAATTGTGGAAAGCCAAGAGAACGCATATTTTCTACGAAATTTCTCGAACATTCAGGCCGGTAAATGTAATTAATACTGTTTAATTAAAAACAGAGCATTTGCGTAAATAAAATATAAAAATTGTCTAATTTCGTCTTAATCCATTATATATATATATATATATATATATATATATATATATATATATATATATATATGATATATGATATATTGACTTGTGACATTTATTTGCACCGACTGAGTGTATCAATAGTTCCAAAAAGTGTGGATGGTTCTGCACAAACCCTCACCACTTCAATCAAATCACTTGTGTGGGTTTTCTGGCGGTTTACCTTGATTCGTTCTTATCCAAACTTGTCAGCAGTCAATATATCACATAACACCCTTGAGCCCTTAGCCTTGGAGCGGGTAGAATGGAGATCAACGTGTTTTCGTGGATTCAGCAATTTTCAACCTGCTTTGTCTGAATCATCTTCAAGAAGCGAGAGCAAGATCTAAAAGGTCAGCCAATCTAACAGTGATCTCATCTCACGATCCTCACACTTGCTCCTTATGTCGCCTCCTTTGTAAATCACTAGCGGGTCTTAAATGCCACTTAACATTATCGCACAAAATTTCATAACTGAATCAATAAGCTGTTAGATCTTCATACGTCGAAACCGACGGGAGAGTCCATTATTATTATTATTATTATTATTATTATATATGGAAGAATATTTTTTAAACTATTTCACCCCAAGGAAGTGATAATGCTACTGGGATAGGAGAGCTTTCTGAGAGTGGAAGGAAATGAGAAAACTAGGGCCAAGAAAAGACAATAAAAGAACCGTTTTTAGAAAGACAGAAGATGGACCTGGGAACACCAGCAATTAAGAGGCCTTGCTGTTGGACGTAGTTTATCGTCTTACCCTGGACGCGGATGTAGTTTCTCGTCATACCCAGGACGCACAATTTTTTTTTTGTTGTAAATATGTAACATTGATGAGGATAATATACGGATATCTGTCATGGGGTGTTTATAAATTGTACTCTGTTCAATTATTATCGTTAACAATGAACTATTTTAAATTGCAAAATTGTACTTGGATTAAACGAAAATTACTTACACTATAATACATATAACTTATAATACATTCCTTTTTGCTGTCAATTTTGACGGCATGGGTACACTAGTATCAGAAAAATATAGAACATATACTGAAAGGAAAAAGACACCTCGAGAGGTGTAATTGTTAGCAAGCTTTAGCTAGAACAATTACAACTGAGTAGTGAGCTCGATCCTCACTGGGTGCCCCGTACTTTCGGCCTTGTGTCACATCTAAGCTACGCTTGGAAAATCACTATACTGAGAGCAAAACTGTCTGCGTACGGATAGAAAATAAACTGCATAAGCACAGAAAGATTGAAAACGATGCAAGACAAGGGTAGGTATTCACGACAGAATTATTTAACCTTTTCAGCGAGGCAATTCGAAGAGTACTAGAACAGTGAACAAGATTTATTATTGGTCAGTCTTAACGAGACAGGCAGAAGATCCCGGGTTGATAGCAAACACAGAATGTAAGCTGCAGGAACTCCTAGATTGGAAAGCAAAGAAAAATGAGAAGAAATGACTAACCATCAACTGTAAGAAGATAGAATGTATGAGATAAACAAGAAAAACAGCACAATGTCCGAGCTACAAATAGAAGATATCAAAATAAGCAAGTACATAAGTTTAAATATCTAGGAAGTGTTTTAATAGCTGTTTGCGCGAAAAGGAGGCATTAAATCCAGAAAAATTAATATATAAAGCGATGGTTCTTAACCTTTTTAGCCCAATGCATCTTTTCTACAATATGTCTGAATATCATCCCTAATTTCCGTTATCCGACTTAAAAGGTGCATTCCAAATAATATGCGTATATTATTAAAAATCTTCATTCTTTTTAAATATTAGTACATATACAGTGGTGTTCGATAAAAGTGGCTCACCTGATTTGTTTTTACTTTAAAATTTTCCCACCTATTGTTTTTAAGCTTAATATAAAGACCCCTTCCTGACCACCTAGTAAAAAAAAGTTTACTCACCCTAAGGTATTCTATTGATAATTATGATTTTGGATATAAATAAGATTTAGGGAAAAACTGAAAAAGTGACTCATTTCCTGCAACTAGAAATCAATAGAAACATAACCGAACAGCTTTAAATAAAGAATAATAGAGGTTTAATTTATTTATAATAGGTAATATAGTTCGAAATATTTAATAATCTATGGGTCCTCCTTTATTTTGAATAACCTTTTCAACCCTTTTTGGCATTGACTTGATTAGGTTCTGGCAAATCTCATCTCCAAGTATTGAATTCCATTCGGATATGAAATTCACAATCAAATCCTCTTTTGTTGCTCAACTGCTTTCTCGAGAGCCTGTACTTTATAATGCTCCATAAGTTTTCTATGGGGTTGAGGTCAGGAGATTGGGGCGGCCATGTCATAACACTCACCTGCTTCTCATCAAAGTATTCCTTCATCAATTTTATTTGTGACAGGGAGCATTATTCTGCATAAAAATGAGCTTGGTGGGGTCAATTTGCACCCTTTCAGCAGAAGGGAGCAGACAAGACTCTAAAATTCTCTTGTACTGCTCGCTCCTGAGGGTCTTTTCAATAGGTTTTAAGAAACCAGTTCCATGAAAAGAAAAGCATCCCCAGAACATTATACTGAACGGATTCTTGACAGTACTTACTGCTAAATTCAAAGAGCTTTCAAAGCTTCTTCTTCGGATTTTAGATCGCTTATCCTTTGAATTTAGCTCAACTTTCGTTTTATCGGAGAAGAGAACATTTAGTAAAAAAAATCAGGTGAGTCACTTTTATCGAACATCACTGTACATTTACATGGATTATTTTTATAATGGACTTTTTTTTAACACTCCTGATGGGCTCCAAATTTTGTAAAAAAACAAGAATGAGTAAAATATTCCCAACCCCACGAAAACCTTAGATTTTTCCGCCTTCTCTAGAAGGGAATTTTACCCTGGTTGAAAACTTCTGATCTAGGAAATGTTTTAATAGGTAACGGAAAATGTGGCACTGAGATTTCAAAACGCATCGGGATAGTGGAAGGTGCCTTTCAAAAGCTAATCAAAGTATTAAGAAAAAGGGAAATTTCGTAAGAAACAAAAAATGTGCTGAACTGTGATTTAATATCAATTCTCTTATATGGTAATGAGTGCTGAACAATTCAAGGATGAATAGGAGACAAGGCAGCAGAGACTTGGTTCTACAGAAGGATAATGAGAATACTTTGGACAGACAAAGGAAGTAACGAGGAGATTTTAAGGAAAATGGATAACAACATTAATCAGAAAGAGAGAAGTGAAATGAGGTAAGAGAGCTTGGAGAATTCGACACTCACAGGGACATATTGAAGGCAAGAAAAAACTAAGGAGCTTGTTTAAATAGAACATGTATTAGGTTGGTGCAAAAATAATGACGTAATAATGTCGTTTTTTGACGTATTTTAACGTCAAAAAACGACATTAATACGTCATTATTTTTGCACCAACCTAATAGTGGGAGGGAGAGTAAAAAGGCATTGTTAGGAGCTACAATGGATTGGTAATGGGGGAGAGAAATGATTTCCCACATCCTGAAGAAACATAGAAGATTGCATGTGTGTGTTGTTGACCGGTTTGCAATTCTGAAAATGCTGGGAGTGGGTGTTCGGCGGCTGGGAAACACAAAATTGTATGGCAGCAGGTGCAGAAAACTTCTGCAGAATGTTTATGTTCTTTTTCATCAATGGTTGCTTCCATTGCTCCTCCCACTGTCTTTGGTTTAACACTGAACTGTCTAATGTGAGATCGATGCCCTTTATGGTAGACGTCTTGCATGTGATTATACATTTCCTGCAGCGTAGTCTGTCCCAAAATAAAACAATAACGGCGTGATACTGGTTTCTGCTTCTTACTTTTCTCGATGCTGCTCATGCATGTTTATATTAATTGCTCACCAAGAGCCTCTCAAGGTAGAGGCTTTACTGAATGAGATTGTTGTCGGAGCGTAAGAGCGAGAGATAAGAATCTGAGTATTTGAGAATAACGGTTTACCTTAGACTTGAAGAGGCTGAAATTAGAGCAATCGAGGAAGCATCCTCTCAGGAGTCCACCCATCCCCAAACAGCGGTTCTTGAGAAGAAGCTGTTCGAATAGAAGGTCAGTCTTACTATGGGCTATTTGATACATTACTACATTAATTTCAGAAAATTGATCACAAATTGCTTGTTTTAATACAGGAATTGTTTTCGATTTGAGTCTGTAAACAAAATTTTTAGTACCCCCTCCCCACTCCAAGAAAAAAAAGTCTCGTGGTCTTAGTTCCTGGGATCGTCTTCCTAGCCACCTCAGCTCGAAAAATAAGTTACTTTTGCTGCACCCTGGATACAAGCAAAAATAAGATTGAAGCGGAAGGAAATTAGAAGAAAGATATGTATAACATTGACGAATATGAAGAGGACAGTGACAGAAAATGAGGTGATGGGGAAAACAGAATTAGTCATGAAACTAAAATTCTATTTTATTAATAATGGTAGAAAAATAAGAAAGAAAGAAAGAAAGAAAGAAAAAAATAATAATAATAATAATAGTAATAATAATTGTTTTGCTTCCATGACGTTTTATCAGTCTTTTCCAGCTTACTTTAAAACCAGAAAATATTTTCACATTTTAAGTAGTTTTTGGAGATAATAATGAATTACTGACACAAGTCCTACCAATGGCGACTCCGAGGGTCGGGTTTTTCGAGCTCAGCCCAAGTGAGTCAACATTCACGTATTTCTATTTCAAGGCAACAAAAATCTTTCGTATTGCGTCGTTTTCATTCTTGACTTCAGCTGAATCCAAAATTAATTATTTTAACTCCGTGCCGCAAAATATTCACCGAAATATATTTCGTTGATCTTGTTCATAATAAAGGCGAAGGAAAGAAAACTAAAAGTAAGTAAAAAAAAAAAAAAGAATGAAATTAAGTTACCGTGGCTTGTCGGGCTGCGTAGATCTGAGCCCTATCGAAGCTAGAGACATACATAATAAGCAATGCATTTCTTGCTTTAATTTTATAACTAATGTTTTAGAAATCTCTAATGATCTGTGGGCCCTGTTTTTCAAAGAACACATTTTTATTTCAACTTATTGTTTTCAAATGTTCATTATAAATAATATATCCCGTACAGTGTAAGGTTTTTAGCGGAAATTATCTTTTGAGAAAGAGCAAATTAACTTTAAGCTGACTTAAATGCAGCGAAAATCAAATAAAGTGGTAGCCTTAACTCGTCGACTCGAGGGTTGGTGTGAGAAGTGTGACTGGAGTAGTGTTGAGGAGATATGATATTAGTCATCTATTCCTATCTCAACCATTATTGGCTTGACAACCAGTCTACAGAACAATAAAAAAAATGGAAAGAGGGCAACAAACAGACACGCATATCAAATAGATTGTCCTCACTCTTTTTTCTTACATGTCTGTCATTTTTTAAATAAATGTTTATTTTTATAGAATTATTACAGTTAATATTAAAATACCAAAATGTGATTTTTTTTAAAATTTCATGCACAGAGATTTTTAAAAATGATATATTTTAGTTAGAGTAACGTAAACATTTTAGCGTCTAAGTTACACCAATAGTATATTTTGTTAAAGATTATAATGAGCCCGACAAACATTGATGACCTAGAGTTGACACTGAGTCCTACTAATTAACCCATAGCTGGGAGGAAAAGTGGATTTTCGTGTAAGTGAATATAATGAAAGCAAGTGGAATTGGAACTCGACTCTACGATTTCTAAATCCGAACCGTTTAATCCATTACACCACCTGCACAAGCAACCTTGCAGCACCTGTTCTTCTGGGTGGGAGATAATAATGATTTAGTGATACAAGTCTTACTAATTAACCCATATCTGAGGGGAGAAGAGGTGGATTCATATTTTTTCAAAGAGCATTTACGCGTAAGTGAATATAACAAATCCAAGCGGAACTGGAAATCGGTTCTACGATTAACAATAGCGAGCTACTATGCAGTACACCAGCCGCATATCTAAGCTTACAGCTGCTGGTATTCCCAAGCTGTCACCCATCTAGATACTGATCGTACGGGAACTGGTGTTTCAATGTGATGTGGCCTTAAACAAAGAAGAAGAAGAAGAAAGGGAGGAGGGGCGGATGATGAAGAAGAAGAAGCAAAGCAACAATAACAAATAAAATTAAGTATAATATGGATATGAAAATAATTAGAAGAAGAAGAAGAAGAAGAGGGAGAAGAAGAAGAGCAACAATAACAAAATATTAAGTATAATGTGGGTAGGAAAATGATGCACAGAGGAAGAAGAGGAGGGTAGGAGGAGGAGAAGAAGAAGAAGAGGAAGAAGAAGAAGAGGAAGAAGAAGAAGAAGAATGAGGGGGATAGAGAAGAAGAAAAGCAACAATAAAAAATTAAGTATAATGTGGGTATGAAAATGCTGCGTAGAAGGAGAAGAAGAAGAAGAAGAGGGGGAGGGGGAGAAGAAAAAAAAGAAGAAGCAAGCAACAATAACAAATAAAATTAAGTACAGTGTAACCCGGATATAAGATAGTTGTCGGGACCGGAGAAGAAGTCTCTTATATCCGGGTTTCTCTTATATCCGGGTTTGGTCTATTTTGTTTAGGTGAGTATGGGCTCTATTTTGGGACCAGAGAAAATCTCTCTTATATCCGGGTTTCTCTTATATCCGGGTCTCTTATATCCGGGTTACGCTGTATAATATGGGTATGAAAATGATGAGAAGAAGAAGAAGACGAAGAAGAAGAAGAAGAAAAGCCGTACACAGAAAGAACGACACTGACTACGTTGGTAATGACAAGAAAGCAAACACAAATAAATAAATGCTTATTAGATTTAAAGATATGAGCAAATGATTCAAAAATCATTAAATATTCCAATGAGAAGAATTTTAAATATCCCTTCTCTACTAATTGTCTGTAGAATTTCAAGTCCTTGACTTATCAGGTCAACTTCCAAGGCCATCTTTTTTTATATGTCAATTATATTTCTTTTTTTAAATATACTTTTCTCTGTAATCACTGTTGAGGTTTAGTTGTCTGAAAAAATATCTCTCTGAATTTGTTTCACCAACACATCTCCACAAACGAAGCCTTAACACCTGTGTGCTTCTAAAACATGTTTATGTAAAAAGTACCAAACCGATGGCATCATAATGGAATTAAGCAATTTGCCTTCCAATTTGTAACTTAAAGGAAATAACCGTTTAAAACAGTTCCTGTCTTTTTTAATTATCTACACGTCACTTTTATAGAAATTCTCTTGCTTCAAGGATTATAGACTTTCAACCATAGGAAAACTGGCGGTACAGAGTAAGCGATGTGAAATTAGTTGTCATGTAACTAGATTCCAGCTCATAGGCTTCAACTGGATGCATCCTGCTTAAAAATACTGGCATTATTTTTCATTTAATTTCCACTGAGCATTTTTGTAAAAAAAAAAAAAAAAAAAAAAAAACAAAAAAAAAAAAACAGTCTAAGAGCACATACATTTTACATAGATAAAGCACACCGTAATGGTTGTGAGAACTACTTCGTGTATTTTTTTAAGGTATAGGATGCCAGGTATCCCTTCAATCGGTTAAAGAGAACCTTTTCCTAAAAAAACCCAGGGCGCCAACAATCACTGCAATTATTGATGTCTTCGTGAATAATAATAATAATAATAATTATTATTATTATTATTATTATTAGGAGTAGTAGTAGTAGTAATAGTAGTACTACTAGTAGTATTAGTAAAATTTCCTTTGACTTCTGTTATATACACATTTCCTTCCAGGTCCCAACCAGAGACCGTAGGTTAGAAATTTTCTACTAAGCCTTTTTGTAGAAAGAGAAGAAAAAAAGACAGACGTCTGAAGGCCACAAACATTTTACACGGATAAAGCCCTTCGTAAGATGTGGGCTCTACTTATGAGTACATTTTTGTATTTCTTTAAGGCATGGGCTACTAGGAATCCCTTCATTGTGTTTATTGGAACCATTTTCAATCAATTCGAGGGCATCAACTACAACTGGAATTGCTGATGTCCTTATGTGCCACATTTTTACGATTTCAATTTCATGGTCTGTCTATATTTCTGAGATGAGGTATTATGTACAGTATTTACATTAGTCGGACTATAGTCCTCATCTTTGTCGCCATATTTGTCACAACGTTTCGTTCATGGCACAGTGGATAAAGGCGTTGGTTAGATCCAGTGACAGACCCAAAGAAGGTGAGTTCAATACCTGGTTAAGGCAGTGGAGAACTTTCAGAGGGAAAATTAGCAGGAGATAACTGATATCTGACATCCATCAAACATGGCACGTGGAACTAGAACAGTCTACCCCAATGATCGAAATAAAGGGTTCAGTTCGAAATTCCAACCACCTGAAGCGTAAAACGGCCGAAACGTCGTGACAAATATGGCGACAAAGATGAGGACAATAGTCCGACTAATGTAAATACTGTTCCATTTCATGATCCTTGTATGTTGATAGTCTTTTGAAGATCTTCAAAGATTCATTACAGTCTGCAGGAAATGCCATGTCAATAAGAAAGCCGATTCTGTTTTTATGGTCTTTGATTAGCTTTCGATTGTTCTAACTGTGTGTATTGCAAAGTGCCATAAAATTGTTACAGCCTCTATCTCTGTAACCAGGTCTGGATGATATTCATGCCAGTTTATTGCAGTTTCCTTCCCGTAAAAGTAGCTTATTGTCCAGTGTCGATATTGGCCCACTCTGTCATGCCAAGTTTTATATTCAGTGGACGCTGGTACAAGATGGTCAATTGTTTCTGCATATTTATCACAGAATCTGCATTTCGGGTTAACACAATTAACTGTACTTGGTAATTTCTTAGCAAGCATTTGTTCTGTGCAGCAAAAATAAAACCTTCAATTGTATCTTCACTACGGAACAATTGATGGGTATGGGGTTTGTCTACATATTGTTGAGTAGTTTCACAGTGGAGGCTTGTATTTCACTAAGTCGGTCCTAAATTAGGTTCGACGTACAAAACGTTAGGAACTTGAAAATAATAGTTAATGACGCAGCAATCTAGTTGTGGTGATTGATACTTCAATGTCCGACATCGACTGGCCCACCAACTCCACTGAGCCCCCTGGCGACTGCTACTACTACTCCTTATTATATCTGGGAGAGTCTATTAACAATAGAATAGGTATGTTCCGGTATAACACTACATTAACTTGTTTGGTACAGGCTGAGTAATGACCTTGAAGAGGCTTATAATAATAATAATAATAATAATAATAATAATGGTATTAGTAGTATTATTAGTATTATTATTATGAGTAGTATTAGTAGTAGTATTATTAGTAGTATCAGTATTATTATTAGTAGTAGTATCAGTAGTAGTAGTAGTATTAGTATTATCATTATTTGTAGCAGTAGTAGTAGTAGTAGTAGTACAGCCACCAACAAAGTGATGCTGAGGTACAAATTTTAGAAACCCAATGTAAGCCATAATGAGGCCCAGTCTTATAGCTATTTACGGTACACGAGAATCACATCCAACTGTGCGCCCAATATTGATAATTTTTAATGAAAGAAATATGTAACCTTTTTACGTGGGGCTCTGTTAGAAATACTTTTAGGTGTGCTAAAGCAGTCTGATCAGGCGGTTTCCATCGAGGGTGTTCCAAAGTATCTAGATATATCTCCCAAGTTGCCTTGGCTGCATCCTCCTTCCAACTAAGAGAAAAAAGTAAAATTTCCCCGATACACTGCTATGATGATTCCTGAGTACTCCCGCTCATGAAATTAGATACACACTGCCTCGACCCTTAGATTAATGTCAGGCAACTGTTAAGAAAATATCTGGTACTTTGATTTTTACTTAAATTCTCTACCGCCACAACGAAATACAAGACCCAATACAAGGTCTTCCTATATCCAGTAACAAGGCCTCGGATCAGGATATTGAAGGTTTTGAGGCGCGTGAACCCACCTCTTAAGTGATGTTGTTTCCAGCTCCACACTAACCCGCAATAGTAGAACCTGTTAAGGCCCCAGCTATAAGCAAATAGTGAAACCCAAACAAAAATCAACTGTACATATTTATAATAAAATTACCAGCAATACATTTTTATAAAAAAAATTCCAGCAATACATTTTGTATATACTAGCAATAAATTTTTACACTGACGTAACAAGAGATAGCCTCGGTGGTAACTCCTGTTAGGACTCTAGCTATGGGCAAATAGTGAAACCGTAAACAAAACCAAAACACTATGAAAGTATAAAAAAGTATTTATGGTAAGATTACCAACAATACCTATTTTTAGTATATACAGGGAGTTTCAAAAAGAATACACCAAAATCATCACGTGATATGTCAAAAACGAAAACAATTACAAACCTCTAGCATGAACACATGTGTTATATATACATTGAAGTTTCATTTCATGTTTTATAAGTGCTCAATGTGGCCATCACCGGCAGCGTGGACAACATCAAGCCGATATGAGAATTCCTCCCAAACGCGCCTCAGCATGTCACGGTCCACCGTGTTGATTGCAGCTGTTATTCGATTTTTCAAGTCATCGATACTTGCTGGAAGTTCTGAAACATAAACTTGGTCTTTAACATACCCCCACAAGAAAAAGTCACACACAGTGAGGTCTGGGTATCTAGTAGACCAAGCACAGAGAGCAAGGTCTTTAGCACCTCTCCTCCCAATCCATCGCTGAGGCACGTTTTCATTCAGATAAGCTCTATCCCTGAGATGCCAATGGGGTGGTACTCCATCTTGCTGAAAAATGAAGTCATTCGAATCTGCTTGCAGTAAAGTGAATAGCCATTTTTGGAGCATTTCGAGATAGGTTTGTCCTGTTTGTAGCTGCACCGGAAGTTATACTAACGACAGCGGTGAAACTGACACCTAATCAAACTTTGATAACTACTCTATCAAATAACCACTGATTCAGTCCACTACAATGCTATAGACCTGAAAAAACAGTGTAATGATTTGGGCATATTGTTTTTGAAACACTCTGTATTTAGTTGAAGCCATAAAATAGTGTTCGAAATTAGATTTCGGTATTAAATAACAAATAGAGGTGCAGATATGCCACTAAACAAAACCAAACAAAAATCAAACAAGGCCCAAGAGCCACTCAAGGTGGCAACCAGTCTAAGAGAAGTAAAACGAAGGGAAATAGGAAATTAATCCACCGTCTTTACCAAGAAAACCTGGCAATTCATGTATAATAAAGAGAAAGGAATTTTTGGAGGGCTATAATCGCATGTCTCCTATAGTGATCAGCTATGTGCCATGCGTGATACACGTTTAGGCGATCATGTATCTTTCGATATATAACTGACGAGGCAGATTTTTTTTCCGCAGTAGGTTGCAATTTCTTTCTGCGGAAGACAAGTTGCTATCCAAGGCTATAGAACCCAATCTATTTACCCACAGCTGGAGGAAGAAGAGGATTCATACATTCCCCAAGGGTATTAACACGTAAGTGAATTTCAGTGACTTATGTTCCATGCGTGATACACGCTTAGGCGATCATGTATCTTTCGATACATGACTGACGAGGTAGATTTTTTTCCCGCAGTAGGTTGCCATTTCTTTCTGCGGAAGACCAGTTTCCATCCAAAGCTAAAGAACCCGATCAATATACCCATAGCTGGGAGGAGAAGAAGAGGATTCATACCTTTCCTAAGAGTATTAGCATGTAAGTGAAAGAAATGGATTCGACTGAAATTCGAACGGCCCTCCGATTCATCCTTCCGAGCCGCTATCAATTACTCCACCGTGAAAAAGGTGTTAGCGTGTAGCTTTATAAAAATGCTTTCTGATTTTGTACTCAGTTATAATGTTTTGCTACTTTATTCTTATACAGCATGAAAATCGCATTTCTTAATATTCTCTTCTGAAATGGGAGGGTCTTTTATGCCGGTGGGCTGGGTTTTATATATCATCGAATACCTTACGCATTGTTGATCGTATTTTCCATTTCGTGTGTTCGAACATCAGCTACTGATAGCTCTTTTCACCATCGAACGTAGATTCTCACAAATTAACTCCTAATATTAGAGAAACGTAAATGCCTTAAAAAGAACAATTATTTACCGATATTCATCTCCGGTAACAAACAGACTGAACCAGGAAATTAATCCTGTACGACGTGGAAAAGATAACCCGGGATTGGAACTTACCTTTGGCGAAGGAGCGATACGATTCGTCCGTTTGCGAGTCTGGTAATTAACGTCACGACTGACGTTTTCGTATTTTGATAAAGAGAGAGAGAGAGAAAAAAAAGAAAAAGTCATCGTCGTCCCAAACCAGATGGTAATGACTTCATTGAATTAAATGATGCTTATTTACATCTGAAAAGTGGAACACGGGCGAGGTTCGTGCCAGAAATAGTAATAATACAAATAAAAAAAAAAATAACGGGTCACTTGGCTCCGTTATTTAAAAAAAGAAAGAAAGAAAATAATCTTGTTTTAGGCTCCCGTACAAATCTCTTTTGTAAGTTAAAACAAGATTATTGTGTTTATGCAATTTCCAAACAGATTTTGGTAAAAACTCACAGATATCCGAAGACGCACTGGTATAGCGGAAGATATGCCTTTCAAAATGCTTTTCAAAGTATGAAGACACAAGGAAAAAATATCGTTAAAAACAAAGAAAGCACTACTGAACTGTTACGTGAGATCAGTCCTCCAGTGAATGCTAGACAAATTTCTCAAAGATGAAGAAACGCCTTGAAGCAACAAAAATCTGATTCTACAGAATGATGCCGAGAATATCAAACATGTGATCAACAATGAAGTTTTAATGAAATTGGAAACAAAAAAAAAAGGCACTTATACTTAACATCAAGATGAGACAGTAGAAATTTCTAGGGCATATAATAAGGGAAAAGTGCTTGGAAAATTTGATACTCACAGGACCAGCTTGAAGGTAAGAGTGTCAAAGGAAAGCGACGCATCACATGCATGTAAATGGATGGTGAAACAAGTTCTAGGAGAAATAACAAAAAGGCACAATTTATTAAGAATTACAAAGGACAGGAAATTATGAAGAGCTATAATCGCTAACATCCTGAACGAACAAGGGAAAAAGAAGACGAAGACGACGACTGTTAAATTGGAATTGAAATGGGCAAACTGGGTTCAAATTCCGACTGATATACCTCCAGTAGATTTCCCTTCATCGCCTCGGGAAAGGCTAACGTCCACCTCTACCAATAAAATCTACTCAGAGAAATACTCATTACACGGGCTTACGGCCATATCGTCCGATCACCAAAGTTAAGCAACGTTGAGCATAGTCAGTGCCTAGATGGATGACCGCGTTGGAATACCAGGTGCTATAAGCTTGGATGTGCAGGTGGTGTAATGGATAACGGCTCGGAATTGTAAGTCGGCGAGCCGAGTCACAGTTCCAATTAAGTTCGTTATATTCACTTACGAGCAAATGCCATTGGGAAAGGTATGAATCTACCTCTTTTCAGCCCCCCTCTCAGCTATGGATTAAATAGTAGGACTTGTATCATAAAATCAATATCATCGCTAACCAAAAAATGCTTTAAAAATAACCTGGAAAAGATTGATAATCCGTAATCTGCAAGAAGATTGATAATTTGCAACTTGTAAAAGATTGATAATCCGTATTCTGCAAAAAAGATTGATAATCCGTAACTTGCAAAAGATTGATAATCCCTAATCTGAAAAAAGATTGACAATCCGTAAAAGACTGATAATCCGTAATCTGAGAAAAATGATTGATAATACGTAACTTTCAAAAGATTGATAATCCGTAATCTGCAAAAAATATGGATAATCCGTAACTTGCAAAATATTGATTATCTGTAATCTGCAAAAAAAATTGATAATCCGTAAACTGCGAAAAAGATTGATAATCCGTAACTTTTAAAAGATCGATAATCCGTAACTTTAAACTTTAAATCTTAGTCTTCGTTGACGTATTGAATTGCTGATGAGAGGTAGGTTGTCATACAGCTCTTTCTTTGTTTTTCAGTTAACACGGCCGTCGACTATGAAATGATTCTGTTCGGGTTAACTCGTCTAGGTTTGGTTTGGCAGCGTTGTTCGACAACCGAAATTTTGTTCGTTAATCGAGGTATTTTCATATCGAATATGCTGTTTGAAAACCGATTTGTTCGTCATGTGAGACTTTCGACAACCGACGTTGCTCTGTATTAGTTTATTATAGCCTGATCTGCCAGACTACTAAGACGGAGAAATTCTTCAGGATAACGGTGCTATTTGCCAGATATCATCATCATGTCGAGCAAGCTCGGCATTTCATGACACGCTATTTCCATCCATTCCTGTCGTTCATTGCATTTCAAAGATCACCCAGTCTGCATCCCATGTCTTCAATCAGATCGTCAATGTACATCTTCTTTGGTCGACCTTGTGTTCTTTTTCCCTGGGATGATATCCAGAGTAGAACGCCAACACTGACCAACAAATCTTAGTCTTTGTTGGCGGATTAATTTGCTATGGAGCTCTTTTCTTTATTGGGTAATCTTTCCAGGATTTGTTTAGTGCTGCTTGAAGCATTCGTGTGTAAGCACCATCTAGCCTCTTTTCCAATTTGTCTGTTAGTGTCTAGGTTTAGGAGCCATATACAAAGATCGACTCTACTGTAGTTCTGAGAAAAAGTTTTTCTTCGGTTTGGTAGATTTGATTTCCAAATTTTGTTCATTTCATTAAGCGCTCCCCAGGCTTTTCTAAAGACGGATGCTGAAACCATTCTCAGTAGAGGCAATATTGGAAGTCGTCTAGTGATTTTCCAAGCGTAGCTTGGATGTGGCACAAGGCCGAAAGTAAGTGGCACCCAGTGAGGATCGAACTCACCACTCATTCGTAATTGTTCTAGCGAGACAAGCTTGCTAACCATTACGCCACCTCGAAGCGCCGAAACATGAAGTCGTCGACTTGCTTTATGTGTTCACCGTTCATGCCTATCGATGTATCTTGATATGTTATACACGAGCTATATGAGAAGATCAAATTTTTCACAAAAATTCCAGGGGTCGCACTATACATGAGATAGGCTTAGACACGACTATATAAAATAATCAGAGCAACAATGTTGATATTTGGCGGCGCCCATTTCTTCTCTATATACGACTTTTTTCTCTGGTACCTCGAACAGATGAATTTAAGTC